CGTGCGCTCCGAACGCAGAAAAGAACCGATAATTTTCCATTCCGGATAGCCCATTTCTTCTGTGTACCCTTTTGTTGATTATCGCAGCCTGCATAGATTGTCAGCTAAATCTGGCCAGATAAACAATGCGCGACATTTCGATCTTCTGCGAGCTGACAAACTTTAATTCCGTTGCGTTTCAGTACTGCCCAAGACCAACACAAGCATCTCACTCATTTTAATGTTACGTTGAGAGTGCCTAGACCGAATTTACCGGAAGATTTTCATACCTCACGTTTTGCATTTACGAAACTATTGAAAATTTTTCGAAAATGATGCCGAATACGCGCAGCTATCAAAGTACTGAGTGTTTCTTAATTGTGCGTTTTTGCTTACATGCAAGTCCCAAAAAAAAACCTAGAAGACTGAAACTTTGAGACTATATTCTCCGTCTGCTTAGAACTCAAAGATTTTAAATTCAACCCCCAGGTGTGCGTGTTCTTCGCGTGCGGCGCCGTGAGGGCTCCTGACGGAAAAATCGCTAACTTGGGAACCTGGAAAGTTAAGAGGCTGAAATTTCAAGGGGATGTTCCCAGCCCACGTACAACTTAAATTTACCAAATTCAGCCCTTCGGTATGCGTGATTCTCATGTACGGGTCTGTGAAAATTTTTAGCGGGAAAATGGCTAACTCGGGAACTAGGAAAGCTGGGAGACTGAAATTTTAAGGTGATGTTCCCAGTCCATGTACAACTTGAAGTTATCAAATTCAGCCCCCACGTACGCATCCAGGTCACGTACGGCCCCGTGAAAGTTTTGACGCATTGTCGCCTGGTGTGCGTCGCCAATGACTTTTGCATCAAATGCAGCGTGTCTTTTGAATGGAAGGATTTTTTAAGTCGGGGACACTGAAAATTAAAGTGCTTTTACTATTGGGGGTAAACTGTTGTCTGATGTCTATCTTGGCTTATCCTGGTGACTGTGGCATCAGCATAGCAAAATTAACTTCTATCAAACACAGGAAGCAAAAATCAAACTGTTCTTGTCCCAGTGCAGAAGATGGCGCTGAAACCGACAAATTTTGGGAGTACGACAAGTGTGAGATCTCTGAGATCCAATCCGTACTTAGCAATGTTTTAGCTTGAGAGCCAGCAACTAATAAACTGCCTTTCATCAGTACTCGCTTTAATAATTTGGCCGGCTGCAACTGATACTTTTACTGACAAATTGATTTTTATGCGTTTTTTGCAGCTATGCAGTGCAGAAAACGCATATTGACGAAAGGTTGTCTGTGTGTATGTGTGTGTGTGTGTGTGTGTGTGCGTGTGTGTGTGTGTGTGGGTGTCTGTGTGTGCGTCTGTCTCGGTTTTTCATCTCAAGACCTACAAAAGCTACAGGGCTGAAACTTTGGGGACTTAATCTACATGCA